ACTAATAATATATATATATATATATATATATATATATATATATATCAATGAATTTAAGCGCACCACGTAGTTTGTACATATTACTATTATTATATTAATCTATATTATCATCTCATGTTACATGCGATATTATTGATTCAAAATAGAATAAAAATAAGAGAGTTAATACTCTCAAAAAATAAGATAAAAAAAATACATTGAATGTTAGACTTATTGTTTACGTCATACGGTATATTGATTATTAATATATATGTTGAATTATTAAAATATTTATGATAATATAAATAGCATTATATTTTATATTATTAAGTGATAGTTATTATATATAAAATATATTATATATTATATATAAAATATAAATTTATTGTAAATATATTTTGAATGAAAAATTATATAATAATATTCTTATGCATAGGTTATATTTATTCATAAAGAAAAGTATATATATTAAAATTTATCACTTATAATTAAATTAATTTATATTAATTTTTATCAAAATAATGTCTTTGAAAAAAAAAAGGATAACTTTGGCAGACAAAATAAATTCATTGGTTACTCCAGCACCAATAAATTTTGATTCTGATGATGAAGCCGAAGAAACAAAAGCAAAGGTAGTTGATTATTACGATGAAAGTGACAATTCAGATAGTAATATTCAAGTTTCAAAGATACGTAAACAAAATGTTTATTCCTGGATCAAATAGATAAAAGGTAATTTAAAATTTTATTTTAAATTAATGAATAATTTATTATGTTATGAAGTTATTAAATGATATTATAATTTCTATCATAGATATAAGGGTAAAAAAGTTTCAAGAAAAGACATATTTAATAAAGATAATGAAAATTTTAATATACAAAATATATCAGAAAATGAAAGTATAGATAGCACAGAAGAAGAAAGTGATGACGAAACAAATGATAGTAATAATGAAGAAAACATTGATGATAGTAATAATGAACAAGATAATGATAATAAATTTAAATAGAGAATAATTATAATATATTGATATTTCTTTTATAGAACATTATAAAAAAACTTCATTATTTTAAGAACTGTGAGAATTTTTAAGAAAAAGATATAAAAGATAGTTGATAAAAATATAAAATTAAGCACAAGTTCAGATTCTTCTCATATTCATTTTCTCAACTAAATTAGTTTTTTTATAAGAATAAGAACGAATACAAATTACAAGTAGCACAGATTAGTAGCTATAAAAATAAAAAAAATAAAATATAATAATCAAATATTGTATAAGCTGTAATTTGATAGTTATGAGTCAGATACAATAAATAATAATAAAATATAAAATGTAATATAACGAAAAGATAAAAATGATGAAATTTAATAAAAAATAAAAAAATTTTATTATTGAACAAAGGATTTGATTTAATGTCGAAATATCAATTTCGCTTTATGCAATGCATCTGAATTGATGTTTGACTGCTTACAATTAACTTCAAGTTGAATATATTTATATTGGATGAAATTTTATATTGAATGAAATGTTATGTTAAAATTTTTAAATCATTCATTAAATTGAGTATTTAATAACTGTTATAATATTAAATTTCAGAAAAAATAATAAAATCTAACTAATAAAATATATAAATGAATTAAATATATAAATTTATAAATATCGATACTAAATATATCGATAGTTTCGATATATCATTTTCTAAATATCGATGTATCGTTGTCATTCCTAATTCCTTAAAGATATATATATATAGATAGTCTCATGGCGATAGTATGAATGTCACGTGCTTTTATATATTCTATCAAAATAATTAAATCTAATGTACAAATAGAAATAATCGAAAAAATATGGAAATAAATATGGAAACCGAATTAGAAAAAAGTAACTGTGTTAGAAATCAATTACAACTTTGGGAAAATTTATTAGAAGTTAGAATAAAATTACAAAAGTGCTTAATTACTAGTAATCAAATGCCTCAGTATGATATTTACAATAATTTTAAAACAAATACAGAATATATAAAAACAGCTGATGAAGTGAAAAATAAATTGAAAACATTATTAAACAATATGTTGCAATTGCAAAGTTCTTTTTTAAAACAATATCCTGAAACAGAACATTTATCGAGATATAATAAAAAAAGAAAAGCTGAGGAAAATAAGGATAAACTAGCAAATATAGGGGATCCAATGGATGAAGAAATTCCTTCAGATACAGAAGATGAAAATGAAAATATAAATGAAGAAATTCTTTCAGATATAGAAAATGAAAATGAAAAAAACATAGTTTTAGATGAAGATACAAACAATTTTAATAACAATATATTTAAGAAGAAATTGAAACTTGGCGACTATGAAAAAATATTAAATAATAATCATAAATCTTATATAAATTACAGAAATTCTATTATTCAAAAGTGGAATGAAAAGACAAAGATAGCTAGTGGTAAATTAAATAAAGATACAAGTGAATCAACATTAAAACAAATTGAATTTGCTTTAAGTGATAAACAGAAATTGCATAATAGAAGTCGACTGAAACGTTCAGAATATAAAATTATTGGTAAAGCAGAATTAACAGAAGATAACGATGGTAGAAAACTTCAAGAATATGATTCTGAAATTTATGATGATGATGATTTTTATCATCAACTTTTAAGAGATTTAATTGAATATAAATCATCTGATATTACTGATCCAGTACAACTTAGTAAACAATGGATAAAATTACAAAATATGAGGCATAAAATGAAAAGAAAAATAGATACAAGAGCTACTAAAGGTAGAAGAATACGATATAATGTACATAATAAATTAATAAACTTTATGGCTCCTATCACAATAAATGATATGTGGACAGATCATGCAAAAAATGAACTATATAATTCTTTATTTGGTAAAATTAAATTACCAGATGAAAAAGTTGGATGTTAGGTTTAAAACAATTAATAAAGTGTTAATTTTATATATTTTATTAAAAAATATTTTGTAAGATTTATAGCAATTTGATAATGAAATGAAAAAATAATATATTATTTAATAAAAGAAATAATAAAAACGTGTTTATTTTAAATAACAAATTATTTTTAATTTTTAAAAGCTTCAATAAAATAATTTATATAGTAATAATCTATAAATATAACTCCTTTATTGTGTATTATATATTTATTCTTCTTATATGTAATATAATTCTAATATATCTTTTAAAATGTTAAATAATGTTTGCTTTTTTATTGTAACCTGTTATTATATATTTATATTTTTGTAAATAAAATAATTTAATATTAATTTAATTTTAATATTAGTAGATTTTTATGTATTAAATTATTTTTTATAATACAATATTTAGAAATAAAAAAAGATATTGTATAAATGTAAAAATATAAAAGTTATAAAAAATGTTAATAGATTTATATAATATAAAATCTGAATTCATAATTCATTTTGTTAATTATATTCATAAATATAATTTTAGAATTTATTTTAAATTTAATATGCTTAATATAAAGATATTCAATTATTATATATTTAATAATTTATGTGTACAATATAACAAAAAATTATTCATATTATCAATATTTTCTATAAAGTTTGATAAATTTTTTTATTTTATATACTATTTTATATTTTTTATAAAAACTTTTATATATATATATTATTTATATACAATATTTTATTATATTTTTTTGAATAAAAAATAATTAAGAATTTTGAGTAAAATTATTTTGTTACAATTCAATGAAAATCTGAGCGATACTATCGCCTCTACATCCGTTCTTTTCTTAATCAATTATTTCAAACTCTATAGAATCAGTAGTTTCACTATTGCATATATTTGATCTATGGTACAGGTGATTCTCGTTTCACTTAATTTATTTACTCTACTTAATTTAACCGGTGATTACGCTCGAAAGAGCAATTGATAGTTATGGATTCTGCATGTCAAAATTCAGACTTTAGTAATAAATATTTGCTTAGTCAATTAAATATAGCTAGAAAAGAATTAATAATCTAAGGTATTGTTTATATTTGATTGCTGTTGTTTTAAAATTCATATATAGAATAGATATTTCAAATATTATGTAGATAATTCGAAACATCAACAAGTTCCGTTCAAATATATTGTTTTACATACACTAGAATATCTTAATGATATATATATATATATTGCACATAGAATATTCACACGAAATATTTATTGTATTTCCTATGAATAAAATAAATAATATAATTGAAAATATTAATATTTAAATTATAATATTTTATATTAAATATTTATTATAATATATATATAATTTATTATATACATATAATATATTTTTATAAATAAAAATATTAATATATTTTATTATGTGATTTTTTAATTTTAATAGACAACAAATAAAAAGTCTTCGATACATTCATGAAAAAGATGTTGATGATATAAAACGTCTTTTGGAATCATACAAAAATGGATCATCTATATCTGAAACAAAAGTTATAGGTCCAAATGATGTGAAACCTAGCACTAGTACAGATAATGATGCTATAAAATTAAAACCAATTGGAGTGATATCTACTTGTTTTCCTAGTAAACGTGCTACACCCAGACAAACAGGAGTCTGTGGAAAAGTACCAGGAAAACTGTTATTATATAATTCAATATTTACTAATCCTGATCATGCACTTGAAGGATTACAAGATTTTTCACACTTGTGGTAAGATAATTAAAAAAATTTTTAAATATAATTTATTTTTATATTTAATTTATATATATATAATTTATATTTATATTATATAATTTAATTTATTATTATATTAATCTTGATTAAATATAACAAAAAATATTCTTTTTTTAATTTTATATGAGTTATTATGAATCATTAATCTACAGGATATAAAAATTTTATTTTATTTATTTCTAAAGAATTAATATAAAATAATTTCTATTTCAACAGGGTCCTCTTCTACTTTCACAGAAATGATTCCACACATATTCGTGCCAAAGTTGCACCACCAAGATTGAATGGTACAAAAACAGGTGTATTTTCTACACGTTCTCCACATCGCCCATGTCCAATTGGCTTAAGTTTAGTAAAAATTACAAGTATAGAAAATCATACAATATATTTTGAAGGTGTAGACATGGTTGATCAATCACCTGTATTAGATATAAAACCCTATATACCACAATATGACAGTCCATCATTTTTTGAGAAATCAAGAAATAGATCACAAGAATCTAATATAAATGATGCATTTGATTGCATAGAAGAAACTGCCAGAAATCAAATATGTGGTACAACTAGTATTAGTCTTGGAGATGATACAAGAAATTTATTTTCAGAATCTTGTTATAAAAAAACTACTCATAAAACAAGTCAAGAAACAGATATTTCTAGAGATGAAGAAATTGCTTTAAGATTACAAGCTGAAGAGTTTCAAAGAAATTCTAATTTTGAAAATTATACCAATATAAGACATTTTTCTGAATTAAATGATATCACTTTGCACAATAGTAGTACATTACGACATAACATAGATGTAACTGCTATACATAGAACTCCTCATACATTTTCCGATACTTTATCTGATACCAGATCAAGTTTGAATATAATTAGACACAACATACTTCCATCTAATGTTGAACAATCAGAAAGTTTACTAGATATAAATAATGGATTACAAAATATTAATGTAAATGATCGTACTAATATTGAATCAGTGTACGAATCGAGAAATGTAGAATCTAATTACACAGAAACGCATGCTCCTCGATCTAGACTTTTAGATGGAGCTGATGGACCAAATACCATTTGTGGTACAGATATAGATTTAATTCATAGACGATCATTAAGTTCAAGAATCGATAATTCTCCCATAAGAATGGGCGTACGAGAAGCTCCTGATGGAGAAGAAGGATTAGAATCACAAATTCTCACTCCGCAACATTTACCGAATCAAGTAATAAGAACTACATCAAATAATAGTTTTCCAGACACTGGAGATGCACATTTAGTATTTTCTTCTGAATTGAGAAATGCTGAAGATAGAGAATCAAGAGCTAATTCTTCTTCAGAAGTAAGAATTCCAGAATGGATATCAAGACCTAGAACACCTCTATGTGTGGTATTTAACGATCGTGCTTTAATTCAATTAAATGAAATCTTAGGAACTAAAATTAACGACCAAAAAATTGCAATTGAAAATGTATTGCGCGAAGATCCTAGATCTGTATATTTAAGACAACGATGGGGTAGTCAATTTTATACTTTCTTAATTCACGATTTACATATCACTTGTAGATTCGACGACAATCACGGCATAGTAACAGTTTTCCAAGTCAAACACGCTGGTCGTATTTGCGAATGTGGAGAACCTGAATGGCAATGTTTGGGTCATTCACCACCCTCATCTTAAAAAACGTTCTCATGTATGTGTATATATATATATATATATATCTGCATATATATAATATTATATATGCATAATATTAATTTGCTACTATATTTTTAAAATTATTGATTACATGTGAACGAATGAACAATTTAATTTATCTATAGTATATTTTATTTCTATATCATATATTTTTTAAAAATTTTCTCATTATGATACTTTAGAGGAATGCTTATTTAAAATTTTGTGCATTATAATTGGTATTTTTAATTTAATATTTATCTATAAATTACAATAAATGATTATATTTACATTTAATATTAAAATTTCGTGACAAACAATTAGTAACTTAACTAAGAATATTATAAGATTAAGCCAAAAATATTTTATGAATTATAATCAAATATTAAGATCTTTTTTTTTCTTGTTTAAAATTATTATCATTGAAAAATACAATATAATTTTAAATAAATTTATTTGTTTTATACGAATGAACTTCAAGTTTTTCAAGTTATATTCTGATAATTGTATTATATAGTTAATATTATTTTTTTTATGAAAATTTAGTAAAATGTTTAACTACATTTTTTTCTTTATATCTTTAACTATTATCTATTGATTTTTATTGTTAATGAAAACAATCAATTTTTCTAAGTCTTTTAATTTCTAATAATTTTACATACATAAAAACTAATTTTAAATTTTTTACAACAATATATAAATATATTTAAAAGATTTATTTAATTTTTAATTTAAAATTTATTTAAATACTAAGACGTTAAAAATCTTGTAAATTATGATAAAAATAGATAAATCTTTTATTATTTTAATTATGGAATATTTATTCTATAATTTTTTATGATTTTATTGTAATATTATCGCATAATTTCTTATTATAATACGAAAGTTCCTATATGTTTAATCTTTAAACAGTTATAATGCAAAAGTTATACTTGCGCACAAAATAAAAATATTACGAAAAAGTTTATTTATAAAAAATTGTTTATCAAAATTTTTATGATATTAATAAAATTAATAATTTTAATTTCATAATTTGATTGCATTGAAAATTATATTCATAAAAAATTCATAAGAAAAAACATTGTTAACTGTGATTATAAATACATATATAATTCAAGTATACATTCGTATTGTTGAATCTGCACCTGCAGAAAATACCCATGGTTGAATAGGATGAAACATCACATCCAAAATACCAAAATCATTATAAGATTCATGATTGCATAATCTTTTAAGTGGTACAATCAATGCATTTTGCAATAAATCACTAAAATGCATTATGAAATAATTAATTTATAATGAAAATCATATTAAATAATTATAAATTATCTTACTTATACACCATTCCATGAGAAACGATAAGACTCCTATCATCAGAACCAGATGCAAAAAGAGGATATCGCTTATGAAATATAACACTTCGAACGCCCGTACCATGTAAACGTAATGTCTGGTAAGGTTTTGTACTTAAATCAAGATCAAACCAAAGCATTTTGCGATCATAAGTGCCTACTAAAATATTATCACCTCCTAGAAATATAAATATAATTAAATAATAATAATATAAATACATCATTCATGTAATATTCGATTTTTTTTACCTGGATGAATTGCCATTGATGATATCCATTGTGAATTCGATAATAATTTTTTAATCATTTCTTGTTTTACTAAATCATATATTCGTATGTTTCGTTGAGTCTAAAATTATTTTTTTTTATCGCAATTATATTTATACATTTAATTTATATTTTTTACTTACTGCTACAAACAAATAAGGCCTAATTGGATGAAATAAGACACATTGTATTAAACCTTTTGATCTAGTGAATGGTAATTGAGATCTTCGTTTTGATAATTGATTTATTAAGACAGATCTGTTTTGACCATCTGGCATAACAGCAGCAAAATAATCACCTTTACCATGCCAAGTTACTTGTTTCACTATCTTAAAATGATTTAAAATTATTCTGATTCCATTAGTCCAATGTTCACCTTCTGCTTGTTCCCATTGAACAGCAGTTTTCACTCTCTCACTTACTGTAAATGTATATTTATATATAGTTATTCCAATTCTATTATTTTTTAATATAAAATATAATATTATAATATTATAATATATATAATATTATAAATAGTTATACTATATTTTTAAATTATATATTGTATTAAATAATACAATATATTTAATAATACATATAATAAAATATATAATATAAAAAAACCATATATTAAAATACCTATAATATCACTTTGTGGTATTATTTCTAGTAATTGATTTGTTTTATTAGTAATTAAATGATCTCCTATACCAGGATTTATCAAAAGAATTTTTTTATCTGCAGCTACTGCTATAAGTGATAGAGATTGATTTGGAGACCATGCTATAGATCTAATAATTCCTCCACATGGAATTGTTTTTACACATCTTCCTGTTGCTATTTCCCATACTATCAAACAATTAATTACAACAAAATTAGTTACAATGTATAATGTACAATATTTCGTATAAAGAAACTTACTTTTTAAATTCATATCATCACTACCAGAAGCAATATATTGTCCCATTGGTTCTGCAGTAATACTTCTTATCATATCCGTGTGACCTTTAAATACCATGGACATTGTTGTAGGAATGGTTGTAAATCCTTTGGACTAGGTAATTGAGGTACTAAAGCTTCAGGTTCTATTGTTAATTTCATTTTCAACGCTCTAGGACATAAATATAAATCTAGACATCTCTGAAATCTTTCTTTAACATATTTCGGATAAGAAGGAACTTCGCGAAGTGAATTAAATTTCTGTGGAATGAAATGTAATTTTCGTTTCCATGGTGCTGTCTGTAATTTATTCCATTCTTTTAATTCCTTTTTATCAAATAGATATTCTGGTGGAGGATTATAACTTTCTGCATGTCCAGGTAAATGTCTTTTTGGTGGTGGGATATGTTTATGAATTCTACGCATTTCTTCAGCTTGGTCATCTGATTGCCACAACATGTAAAATTGTGGATCGTATTTTTTCTGTTCCTTTTCTTTTTTTAATTCTTCTGTAGATTTTATCCAACCCATTTTAAGTGCATGAACTAATTTTGATATTTTTTTAGCTTCTGGTTTAGATGGTAAGAATGAACGTTTATGTTCTGGAAATTTACGTACTGGTGTTTTCATTATTTCTGAAGTGAACCATTCTATCCATGGCTATAATAAAGCAACAACATTACAAAGTGAATTACTATCAATTAATGAATTATTATTAAATTATAAAAAATTAAATAATAAAAATTAATCTTATTAATAAAATACTTACAGAATATTCATCAAAAGTTATATCAGGAATTTTCCGTTTTTGTATCCTTGTAATTAAATCTATATCTGCTTCACTTAATTTAACATCTTGTCCAGTTTGAGGATCTTTAATTGTTCTCCAAAAATCAGGATCTTCCATTCTTTTCAAAAAATTATCTAACTGATCACCTTTTTGAGGTTTTATAATTTTTTTACCATCCCAATTATAACCAATGTGATCATAGTCATTATACCATTTTATTGGTATATTTCCAATTGTATTGCGAATATCTTCTTCATCAGAACTATCATATTCATATTCATCTATTTGTTCATTTTTTATCATTTTATCACTATTCATTTTTTTGTTTATACTAAATTCAATATTTTTTTCCAGATTTTTTTCTTTAGATCTTTTTACATCATTTAACTTAAAATTATGATCATTTTTTATTTTATTATTCTGGATAACTTTAGAAATAGTTGATACATTTGATTTATTAATTTTATTTGTAAAATATATGTTTTGTTTATTAATTTGTATCATATTAGATACATTATTTTTGTTATTGATATTAGATATAGAAGATTCATTTTTTTTTTATCTCTTTAGATTTATTTTGTTTAGATTTGAAATTTTCATTTTTTAAAAAGTTTTCCAAACTTTCATCTTCACTTTCATTAGTGTTTTTACCGAAAGAAATATTTTCCTCATTATTTTCAGAATAATCTTTATTCAAATCAAAATCATCTGAATCTGTTTCAAAACTTAATTCTTCTTCATCATCATCAGATTCAAAAACAATTAGATCTTTTTCGGTATCTGATTCAGGAATATCTTCATTTTCATCTATTTCTTCATCTGTGCTTTCATTATTATTATTCACTTCAGCAGATAATAAATCTTCAGCATCTGAATCCTAAATAATTTTATCATTTAAATTACTTTATATTTCTTTATAATACAATCTTTTTAAAATAATAATATTTTAATTTAAATAATTATATTTTTTATATTATTATATTAATTTTTATATTTTTAAATTTGGATTTAATAATATATATCAATATCAATAATATATATCATATGTATATATATTTTACAATTATAATAATAATAAATATTTTAAATTCAATTTATATATAAATTTGTTTAAAAATATGTTGCCATAAAATAAAATTCCATAAAATTATTTGATATTTAAATACTTAAATTATTTATATATTTAATAAAAAACATTCAATAAGATAATATTTCTATAAATTATTTCATATTAAAAAGATTTTTATTAAAAAATTATTAATTTTTTAAAAAATATATATTAAAAAGTTGTATCTTTTATAAATGAGAATACAAGATCAAAAAATATTACCGATTCTTCTTTAAATATAGATTTTGTTGAATTTTCTTCTTCTTCTGTAACATTATTTTTAATTTTTGTGGTACTCAATTTCCTTTTTGAAGTTTTCTGTTTATTCTTCATTTCCTCACGTGTATACAAATAGTAGAAAGGTTATGTATATTCACGTAATATTAGTTTCAAATTTATGTACTTATGTATATAACCATAGATGAAGTACTTATATAATAGAACTATAACTTAATATATTTTTATTCACACAAGCGCAAATGTTATTTTAATGTTGTTAATTTATTTTAATGTTATTTTAAATATTAAGTAATAAAATTGAAAATTTTTAATTTTTCTTTTTTTTTTAATTTTTAAGAATTTAAATGAATAAAAATATAACAAATTAACAAAAAATAACTTTGAAGAATTATTTAAATTAATTTTAATTATAATTATTATAATTTAAAATTAAATATTTAAATTTATCTGAATTATTTTTAATAAGTTTAAATTTTCTTAGTAGTTAATAGAAAATATAATAAAAAATTGTATCATTTATTGAAACGAAAAAAAATATGAAAATATTTCAAATTAATACTTAAAATTTAAAAAAAATGAAACACATTAATTAAGAAATAGATTTTTTTTTTATTTTAATGATTAGTTTCACTAAAATGTATAATTTTAATTTGCATTAATTCATTAATTGTTTAAAATTGTTTAATCAATCCTTTATTTTTTCATAAATGCTAAATAAAAATAATTAACAAAATTTTAATTTTTAAATCAATAAATATTTCATAAAAATGAATTAAATTTTATTGAATATATAAAGAAACATTACAATTAATTATAATGTGAATAAGATATTAAAAATATTTTAAATTATTTTAAATGTTTAAATATAATTTGTTTTGTTAAATTCATATATATTATATAAATAAAATATTTTATTTATCTATGTACATTTTTCTATATCTATCTTCTTGAAAAATATAATAGATATGAAAATTTAACTATATATACTACTATAAATGAAAAATAATCTATGAATTCTTACAATATTTTTCAATTTGCTATATGATTATATTGTATTTTATTTGTTGTGCAGTATTAGGTGGTGTAGTTGTTGGATGAATATGAACAGGTAAATCCCAAATCATTGTTTCAACATCCAAAACTAATGGTCCTTGCCAATTAATACTAGTTTCACTAGGCATTTCTACTAGTTTTGAAGTTGTAACAAATTCAAAATGTAATCTCCATTTTAATGTCATCAAATCAGTAGTAAAATCCGGTGTTACATGTAACGGTATTGGTAATACTAAATGAGAATATTTTAAACCCATACACATTTCATGATGTTTATTATAACTAACTAAAGTTGGAGTTATGGCCTTTCCTCGTCTGTATTCATCAGAAATATGTTCTTCTGATTGCAATGCAACAGATACTTGTGCACAAGAAACAGTGGCATTTGAGAAATCAAATGTTCCAACTATATCTTCTCCAAGTTTATAGGAATTTTTGAAAAGACAAAATCTTACGACACGTCCACGTCCATTTGTAATATTATAAAAATTTGGACTACGTCTAGCTGTTAAATTCTAAATATAAAAACAAATATTAATTAACAATATATATATCATAAAATATATAGTTTTTAATAAAAAGTTTTATAAACCTGAAGAGTTTGTAGTGCCACATCTAATGGAGTTTCTCTATGTTGTGTTTCCATGAATGGATTATTTGGACTTAAATCAACGCTATCATTACAAGCAGCTACTTCAGGCAATTCTAAAATTATGTTAAATTGAAAATTATATGCAAATATAAAATTATTAAATATTAGAAAAACTATTTTATATCTATATATTTATAGATATAAAACTATTTTCTGAATGATTAATTTTTTGTCTTCATTACAGCAAAATTTTATTTAAATCTTAATTTCATAGGAAAAAAATTACACATCTTTAATATAAGAAAAATTAATAATAAATTGATAAAATAAATTGATAAATTAAATGAAAAATTTCTATTACATTTAATATAATTTTTGAGAACATTCTAAATTTGTTTATACATTTATTTCTATATAAAAAATAAGTTTAATAAACCAGATAAATAATACATTACCACTTAAAGAAAGTACTCTAAATGGAATTCTAAGTAATTTTATAGCTGTGTTTACTCGTTGTGTTCCAACAGTGATTTTATATGAATATTTTACTGCATGTCCTCTATAAGATGGAGGTGCATCACTTGGAATTGTTTCCCGATAAAGATCTATAAAATTTAAATATTTAATTTTTAATAATTAATTTAAAATATATCTAAATTTTAATCAAAGACTCACATGTTTTACTTTCACCGGGAGATAGACGTAAATCACAAAATAAAATTTTGGGCTTTGTGTTTAGAACAACATGACCATTATCTTGTTGCCATGGGGCAAATGTTGTATCTGCAAGATACTTATTATAAAAAATGCTGAATGAATTATAAAGTCTTAATTATAAATTAAAACTAACTCAACATTTATAAAATAATTTATAAAATTTATAAAATAAATCTGGACATGAGATAAAAAATGGAAAAAAAAATTATTATTTTAAAACATAATAACTTACTAGCATTAATAGCAGCTAATTGAGTCATATTTAATTTTTCTGAAAAAACAATTTTACTATTTGTAGAACATTGACAATGAACTTGAGCACTAGCCCATGCAAGACTTTCAAAAATATCACTGAAATTTCCAAAATTATAATTTATATATAAAAAATACAGAAAGATCATCATAAATTAATAATATATTACCTATGACTTTGAGAAATTTGATGAATTGGATTTGGAGGATTACTAAACGAGACTAAACATTCTATAACTTCACCAGAAAAATATACAGGTCCTCTAATTAATTTTGCTGTTATTTCAATCATAGTTTTTGTTATAAATTATAACAAATAATTTTCTTAAATAATTTTTAAAATATGTTTATTTTTATAATGTAAATATTTCGTGTCTCAAAATTCGTTTTATTATATTATTTTATAAAAATTCAATTTTTCTGTTCTATTATACAAAATAATATTTAAAATTTCATATATTATTTTCAATTTATGAATTTCATTTCATTTTTTACCTCTTCTATGTTCAAAATTAACACTTTTAGGATTTTATTAACATTAGTCTAGAATTATAAATATATAGAGTACGAAATTACATATATACAAATTGCACACATGTACAATATTTTTAAATATAGTTAACAATATTTTAATCTATTTTAATAAACTGTGTCTATATATATTATTTAACTCGTTATAATTCAATTTAAGCCATTAAACTTAAAAACAAATTACATGTATAAAATTTCAATTTCTAATATGTATACATATTTGTTTCTTAGTATATTTTGTTTCTTCTAATTATAATGTTTTACTTTCACTTGATGATTCAATATTTATTGATAAGTATTTTATTAGAAATGCAAGTTATATAGTTAATATAGTTTAACAAAATTATATTTATTTTTGTAAATACTTGTATCATAATGATATCAATTTTTTACTTTAAATTGTGTAATCATTAATGAATTAATAATAAAAATTAATATTGCAATGGCAAAAATAACTGCATGTGAAATTTTTAATCAAGTTGATGACAAATATTATACACTTTATGTAGAATGGTTTAATTCACATCTTAAAATAATGTTATTAGAATCAAAAATATTACCGCTGATTGGTGAGGTTAGTTCAAAAATCTAAAAAAAAAAATTAAATAAAATAAAAAAAAATTAATTTAATTTTTAAAAATATATAAGTTTTATTCAATAAAAAAATTGTTATATTGTAGATGAATACTAAAAATATAAATGATTTTTCTAATGAATTATCTAAATCATTTGATGAGTATTTTACAGAAACGAAGAAAATACTTTGTGGAAAAGATACAGAAATTAAATATTTTATTAAAAATAAAATTTTAGAATGGAGAAATGATACATGGATTCTTGGAAAAATTCAATTGCATTCAATTTCAGATATTCAAGTAATTTGTGAAAATTTTCAACAACTATTAAAATTTTATCAAAGTATTCAAAATAAAATAACTACATTGGAAGAAGAAAATAAAAATTTAATATATATAAATGAAAAATTAAAATTGAAAATAGAAAAAATGATAAAAATCAAAACTATTATGGAACAAGATCTTTATAAAAAATTTATAGTAATCCTAAATTCAAAAAAAAAGAAAATTAAAGAATTAAAAAATACTATACAAGAAAAAGAAAGTAGTAATACATCAATCTTTGATGTATGTACAGAAAGTGAAGAATCTGAAAAAGAAGATGAAACTGAAAATTATATTTCTATATTATCTACCATTAGTAAACGAAAATCTTTTATTAATAGTAAGCCACAAAAAATACAGAAAGATAAAAAAACTGATAATATTTCTGATGATAAAATAATTTATGAAGCATCTAGCAGCAAAGATTATTCAAGTAACTTTAGCTCTAAGAAATCAAAAAGTAGTTTAACTTTTACCGAAGAAGAATCTGATAATGAATTATTTCCTTAATAATATTTTATTTATAACTTTTATTTACAATCTTTTAAAAGATTATGTAAGATTTTTCATATTGTGCAATGAATGTTTAAAAAGTATATTATGAATATAAATAATATTTTATTATATCATATAATTATTATTTTACTTTAATGAAATTTCTAAAATATTCTAATTTTATATAAAATTTTATATAATTTATATAAAGAATTTTATATAAAATATTTTTTAAATATATTAAATTATGATGAAAAAAAATGTTTAGTCTAAAAATAAGATGAAATTATTTATATATATTTTTATTATTAATTATATACTCTATTTTGTATATAAATTATAAATTACTATTATAAATTTTATTTTATAAGTATAATGAATTAATCAAAAAAATTATAATTAACATGAAACTATTATAAAATTATAATATGTCCATTATAATGTTCATGTAATATTCTTACTTTTCAAAAAAGGAAGTATGCATATATATTAAAAAGAGAAAAATTTATTTAATATGATAAAATATGATCTATAATTTTTATGATATAATATTATTTCTATAAAATACTTTTTTAATGCTAAATTATTATTGAATTTATTAAATTATTTTTATCATCATATTAAAATAAAATATTCTTTATGGAATAAATGAATAAAAATATATAATTTCAAAATGTGGAAAGACACTTAATATATCATGATCTTATATAATTTTCCGAATAATGCACATATTGCAAATAATTTGAATTATTATTATATTATTTTCATTTGTTTATTGAAATATAAAATATATTTATTATTACATTTAACAATATTATATTTATTTAACTAAATAATATTATAATATTAACTAAATAAAAATTATAATTTTTAATCATAGTTTAGTGATTAAATATATTGAACTCTAATCTGTGGATTTAGCTTGTGTATTATCATTTTTACGTTTCAAACGAATATGATTGTCAAAAAACTAATATTTTAATGATAATAAATATAAATATTTATTGAATATAAATATTAATGTCGTATTTCATAAGAAAATTGTCGATCATTCTGTTCCGTTGATATTCGAGGATGAATAGATGAAGGTAATGTTACCGGAGAAGGATTAACAAAAGGTGTGTGATAATCGTAACGATAATAAGCAAATGATTCCCATCGGGATGTATGTTGAACATTTAAAGAAGTAGTTGTAGTAACTGGTGCACTATTAGCGTAATAGTTTCTTTCTGTTACATTCGGAACATAATTATATTGTGGTTCTAGAAGACTTTGCAAATGCCGTATGTATGTGATCGCATGCCTAAGCGATTCGATCTTGGAAAGTTTTTTACCAGGTGGTTTACAGATTGGAAGCTTCGATCGTAACAATTCAAAAGCACGATTCATATCACGCATTCTTGTGCGTTCACGATCACAAGCTGATTTTTTATAATCTGAGAATAAAATAAAAATCAATTTAAAAAAATATATAACATTTAAATTATATAAGAAATATTTTTGATATAAATATTTCTTATATTATAATTATAAATTATAATAGTTATATAATAATAATATAATATATATATAAATTATATTTTTTTCATTTATAAATTAATTTTTAACACATAAAAATGTAACACGAAATGATAATAACTGTAGGAGTAAATGTAATATATAAAAAAATAAGTTATTTATTATTATTAGAGTTATATACTATTTACTTCACCTTTCTCAGTTTGTGATGATTCTCTTTGAACTGATTTAATGTTAGTCTCGTGAAGAATTTCTAAATGAGGATTTGTATTAATCATTTCCGGTTCGGGAACTCTTATTACAAATACTCGATCGTCATTTTGTTGACGATCTTCGAAATTTCCATCATGCCATGATCTTCTTGCTGATTGTTGAGATATATTTGAATTTTCTATAAATAAATATCTTGTAATTATATTTATAGTTATTTATAGTTATTTTTTAATAATCATTATTTTGAAATATTTTTTCATATCTTAATGATTTTAAATAATAAATTATCAAAAATTGAAATTATAATTCACTACAAAGTATTCGATGGTAAGATATTTTTATTATATGATAAATAAAATATTATTATATTGGTATTTATATTTAATATTAAACAAAAACTTAATATAAAACACTATTCAATATCAATAAATAATAAAATGACAGCTTTATTAATTGAATAATATTATGTAACATGTAAAAATATTTCTTTGTATAAATTTTTTTTTTTTTGTGTCAATTACATCCTTTATATGTATCTGTACATCACGTTGTATAGGAAAAAAATTAAATGTATATACATATATATATATATATAAATAAATATTACGAATTAATATGAATATATACCATGAATATACCTGATCCATTTCTTATTAACTGATCTTGCAAATATTGATTGACATTGGGCAATTTAGACGATGAACATTTCTCTTGATTTAAAATTTCTTGCTGTTGTTTAGAATTTTTATCTAGATCCAACAATATAGGCGAATGAGCGCATTCTTCGCTATCATTTTCTGACTAAAAAAAAAAAAAATTAAAACAATTTTCGATCTTTAGAAGTGTTTTTTTTTCTTACTCCTTTTCCTTTAAAAAAAAATTAATTAGAAATTCGACCAATTATTATACGAAATGAAACATGCGAATTCAAAGATTTCATCATATCGATCAATCCTTTTGACGTACGATGTATAAGATAAAATTAAAACTTATCACGTAGTTATAGGCAAGAATAATTTTCATATATAATAATACCTGTTGTGGATAATAAAAAAAGATTTGAAGAATAATTACAAATGTAATATATTATTTAAAAATATTAGAAACATTTAATATGATAATATAATAATATCATATTTAGAAAATTTTCGTGAAATAATTATATCGAATGAAGAGGAGACTTTTCGAAAGGAAATTTTTTCGAAAAGAAATATTTCAAGATGTGTCGAATAAATAAAATTGTTCTTTCTCTTATGACATATTTCTAAATAACGTATTTTGGATTAATTTTCATTTAAAAACATTTATCCACATTTTATTTTTATCATTAATAAAGTTTATGCGCATTTTCCTCAAATATTTTTACAAGTATATCTCAAAAATAAATTTCCAGAAATCTTCTATTATCTACGCAACAAGACGCGTAACGCATTGAATACATCTACTTTTCCATATCGAAGAAATTTAAGAAAACACAGTTTAAATATGACATATAATATAATAGGAAAAATTAAATCACAATATTGAATATTAAAAAAAAAAAAAAAAAAAAAAAGACGATTACAAATCGTCCAAAAATTGCATCTTCCCGTAGAAACACCCCTAAATTCTTTTGACATACCCATGTCTACCTACGTGGTAAGGGGTTGAAGGAACGTTACCTCGTTTCGCGACAATTCGTTGCCGTATTCCTCCGGGTCCATTCCGAGAATACTATGAAATAATTATTAAGAGAAATATCGGTCGGTTTGTTCCTAAAACAGTTTATCCAAGAAGATGGTTAAAGGGTACTGTCGATCTATCTACCTTCTTCGAGAAACTTTTCTCGAAGGCATATATCACACGCAAACTGTCGAACTCGTTTGTCGTCGGATAAGATGTGGATCGGTCACAGACAGTCGTTATTAATGTTAATTTTATCCATTTATTAAGTATTCAGGTGTTCCAACAGAGGCTCTCAATTTAAGGAAGGCGTCCAATCGTTTGTCCAATGATCTCTCTCTCTCGATGGCCCTTGACACGATGCCTCCTGAGCTGAAACAACAGTTTTGCCGAGGGAAGTTTATGCGAAATTTTTTAATTTTTTTTTCCCCATTTTGTTTTTCTTTTTTTTTTTTTTTTGTATGTTTATAAGTATTAATCGGTCTTTCGTATATCGAAAATTAAAAGAAATATACATAATTATTTTATTTACTCGAAAGATATCGAAGTTTATTCGAAGATTACGATCAATGTTGTGAAACTTGATACGAATTTCATTTTTTTTCTTTTAATCTTATATAAAATATAGAAGCAATCGATGCAAATAATTAAAAAAAAAAAAGAAAATTTTGTTTTTATACCAAATAATAAAAGTGTTGAAAAGTTCTACGATAAATGTTTAAGATACTCGCTGTAATGTTTGTTTCAATGTATAATTAAGTAAATATTCTTATCAATCGATATTTGGGGATTAATTAAACATAATATTATCACACACCTCGAAATACATACTTTCGATGATTAAGATGTGGTTAATAGAAGTTTTGAATTATTGGAAAATTCAAATGAGTGGATAGATAAATTTTCTGTTTTCTATTTTCGTTTTATTCAAGAAGATTTTAACCCTTCGAATTCTTTCCTATATGGTCGAATTTCAAATAATATATTGTTCCATTTCATCTAAAATAGTTCGTTTACTTGGGAAAAAATTATTTTTAATCGATACAAACTTTTCTTTTATTATTTTGACAAATAAAATTATTGAGCAAATTTTTTTATATAAACGATAAACACTCGTAATTTATCTTAATATTTCGTATACGAAGATCGTAACATTACATCATTTTTACTCAATTTTCACTCGACAAACATTCTTCAAATTTCAAATGTCAAATTTTTCTTGTCAAATTGAATGAGAATCTCTGGGATGATCGGAATAAAAGTGGGAATGCAAACATCAAAACATAATAGACGCCCGCTATGGAAATGCGAATGGAAATACTAGTGAGACGAGCGATACAAGTATAACGGATTGTGAAGAATAACGATAATCATTTTCGAAAATGCGTGGGAAATTCTAACTTTATAGAAAAATTAAGTATTTTTATACACGACGGTGAGAAAAAACCGGAAATGGAATGCATTAAAAAGAAACTGTACAAACTCTAAATTAGATATTCAATTTTTAACCTGATGAAGTAATTTATTTTGATTTATTTAAGAAACGTATATAATGGTGCATTTTTTTTTTTTTTAATTAAAATTTACAATACATCATGTATATATATCATTATTGAAGTAATGAAAGTAGTGAAATATTTTATAAAATAAATAATATTTATATTTAAAAAATTGTATGGACGGCTGTTGCTTTTATGACTGTATCTTGAAAATTTTCCGACAAATACTTTTGTCTGAAAAAAATAAAATGAATTGAAAAAGAAATCGTCTAAGAATAATTTATGTGTAAATTATTATTAATAATTATCGTCTTTGATTAATTAGAGATATATTATGAGGCCAAGAATGTAATATCTATGTTTTTATATTAAAGATTAAAACACATTGTAGTTTTAAAAAAGAAATGATGAAAGTACGTTTAATTGACATTTAATTCGTACTTTGTCTAATCACGCGCCAAAGGAAGCGTAGACAAGGAGAGTAAATAGCGAGAGAAGGATAGAAATAGAGTAAAAATATTGAAATCAGCGCCATCTTCAGAGTGCCGCAAATGAAACACATAAAGAAAGGACAGAAAATAATGAGAAAAGGATAGAAAAGGATAAGAATTGATCGTTAGCGCCATCTCGTAAGTGTCAAAGGTATCTCTTTAATAGGATAAAGTAGAGTATAGGAATTAAGTATTAGCGCCATCTCTCAACTATTTGTAGAAAAAAATTTCAGAGAAATGTTTTTGATATCCAAAAGATGGCGTTAATGATCAATTCTTATTCTATATCTATCCTTCTTTCACTATTTTCTATCCTTTGTTTTTGAGTTTCATTTGCGGCACTCTGAAGATGGCGCTGATTTCAATAATTTTATCCTATCTCTGTCCTTTTCTTATTATCCTCTTTCCTTGTCTATATTTGTTTTATTGGCGGCACTTAAAAATGGAGTTTTAATGCGACGCTTTTTCAATTTTTATTTTATTTCTATCTTTCTCTCATCATTTGCTTTCTTTTATATACTTTAATTATGGATATTTTTATGAATTTCTAACAATACAATGTAATTATCGTTATATATATTTATTAATTTTACATAAATTGAATGATAATGTTTTGATAGATTGTTTTAAAAATACAATACATTGAATGAAAAAATGTTCATTATATTTACAAATTTTTAATGTTATACAATACGCAATTATATTCAGTCAGCATATGCTTTTTTTTGATTTAAAGAAATTGATATATACAAAAGTGTTTTCGTAGTTTAAAATATATGCAAAGTATTTATTTGAAAATTTTATACCGACCAGAGTTGTATTAATATAATTTTGTTCATCTTGCACGTAATTATAAAATTTGTTTTAAAATAATTTTTAATAAAGAAAATTTCCCTTGTATAATAACATTTATAATATTGATAAAAAATTATGTATAATTGATAAAAAATTATATGTGCATTTAATTTTATAGTAAATTATACAACAATGGTCAAATACGAGTATAATAATAATACTAATTGTAATATAAGCTAAAATATGTTTCTAGGAATGATGCAAATATGACAATACAATTTTCTAACAATATCACAGTGTTGGTTTCTCATCTGCTGGTTCTTCTTTTATAGGATGATTACATTCCATTAATGCAGGATTCGCCACGGCAATTATATTATCTCCTCGCGAAGCTATTACCTTTATTCGATTAAATTCATCAGAATCAGAATAAATAACGTAATATTGTATATATATTTATATATTATAACGATATATTAAAAACATACCTTAAGATTAAAATCACTTTCTTTATCCGTATTATCTGCTTCAACTTCATTAGTGTCCTGCAAATAAAATTACTCTGATTGAAATATATGAAAAATTATTATTATTTTTTAATTTTTTAATAAAATTTGTAATTTGTAATTGTGAAATATATTGAATATATACTAATTAAAAAAAAGTAAAACAATTACTTTTAATAAAATTTAATAAATTTATTCGCTTACATGTATCGACGAAGATTCTTCATTTGAAAATGAAAGTTGACTATCCGAATCACTTATCTCCTCGATACTCGCACTGAACATGCCATTGTTATTCTTCTTCCTCCAAACTGGACTAAAACAATGCAAATGTCTGAACATCAATATATACTTGTAAAATAATCTTTTTATCACATGATATCCAAGATTTTAAATATTTTATAAAAAATTTTAAACACATTTTGCAGTTTAGATTCAAAAATCTAAATTCCTTTTCGATGAATGAAAAATATATCATGCATTTAATTGGATTAAAATCCAATTGAGTTGAAAGTAATCACCTTGAAGATCTATGTCTTCTGATTGTCGAGTTATTTATATCCATTTCAGGACAACGTAGATCCAACTCCTCCTAGAACAGTGAACTGCTACAGATAGTGGAAATGACAAATATAGTGCGTTAAATGAAAGGCAGAAGAATAATAATAATTAATATCTTTGATAAGTGCAATTAATACAACAAATATACACAACTCGTAAGGACACCAGGAACAAAGCATAGAGTCCTAACAAGTGTGGAATAAAACGATTTACTGTATTGTAGATAATATATATGAATTTATAGAGAAAATATTTTTTAAGATAAATAAAAAAATAAAAAAATTTCATATTTGAATAAAATATGAAATATTAAGTAATTAATTTAAAAAAGAAACACACACACTCTCTCTCTCTCTCTCTCTCTCTATTTTTTTTTAAATCTAAATTTTGCATTTAATATTTTGATATTTAAATAAATAACATGGAATCAATATACAAACAATCAATGCAAAGCCATGCATATTATGCAGAAGCTATACTTGACCTTTTCTGTTTGTGCTTCGCGTGTATATGAAGTAGTTTATGTGTTGTAATTATTTTGCGTGCTGGATGGATAGTTAGTAGGTTAGCGCTCATGCGAGTGCAGCAGCTCAATAATATACCAGATTCCAATGATTCCAGATCAAATCACAACTATAAGGATTCCATCAAGAATTTTGAATCATATTTTTCTATCTTTAAAGTATAATAATATTTTAATATTTTAAATATTTTTTATGTTTTTCTTATATATTACTTTATAATTATTATTCAATAATTTTGAAATTATTTACATGCAATTTATAATTTAATAATTATAATTATATAATTGTAAAATTATTAAGTATAATAATTATAACTTATTTAAATAAATATAATGTATTTAAATAAGATAATTTTGTTCTAATATGCATTTTTTTTTAAATTAATCATTTTGATTTTTGTTATGCCTTTTTTATAATGCATATTCAAGTGATGATAAAAATATTTATTCGATTATTTTTTTTTATTTATGTATCATATTAATGCATAATCTATAGAACGTATCTTATACAATTAATTTTATATCAAAATTCTTGATTTTTGTCCTAAGTTTATGATCGATTTTGAACCGGAATCACCTGTACATGGCTTCTTTTTATGGCCGACGTGAGCTAACCTGCGTCCCATCTTCATTCTCACCCTCGAGCTCGAGCTTTTGTCGCTTTGTACGCTCGGCATCGTTTTCCTCGCCATTTTCACGTGGCCTCGAAACGGATAAACTAGGGTGTTACAAATATAATATTAACGTAACAATTCCATATAAAATTTTATCAATCTTTTACATACATATGTTTAAAAAAATTAATGAAAGAAGAAAAATGATAATTATCCTTCAATAAAATTCATAATATGTAGTATGATATAGTATTAAATTATCTCATTAAATTATCCG